TAAAATACTACTCATATGTGGCTCAGATTAAGGGCTATATTAGCGGCTATATAGCACCATCCAACTGTCACAGAGAGGGGGAAGTACCCGGGCTCTTGTGGTTTATCTACTTCTGCTTATCCGGGAATTAAGAAATGTCAAAAATGTCGAGACTACTTTATTTATCTTAGGAGAATACCTTGTGACAACGATGCAGGTCCATACTTTAATACCCTGCTATCTAGAGTTAAGTTTAGAGTTGGGGGCTAAGGCTTGAGGGCTTCGGGCTGAGGATTAAGGGTTGAGGGCTGATGGCTAACGCTTCAGATTTTTGGGTTTAGGGTTGCCTTTCCCACATGGAACTTCACAGAAGCTCTTCTTCAACTCCAAAAAAATGTGGTTGAGGTTTGCCCTCACAGGTTTCCTGTTAAGCCTTGTAGGATTTGAGGGTTGAGGGTTTAGAGTTTAGAGGTGACAGTGTAGGTGTAGGGACAGGGTGCAGGGTCACAGGTTTGGTGGTTTGCGGGCATGTCAAACCTACTGTCCGCTCAAAAGGGGCCTTTGCAAGGTTCCAAAGACAGAGACCCCTCGCATCTTGCGCCAAAATCGGACTCCTAAAAGGAGACGCCTGTATCGGGGGAAACCGCTCCATGCGTCCTGCATTCCCATCTTTCATTCAGCCCCCCTACATAAAACCCTAGAACTTGACCCTTGACAAGGACCCAACTCTTTGGGAAAGCGTAGCCTGGCACTCCAACACTGCAGGCACTGGATAGTAGGTATCCGCGCAGCGCGCCGTGCAAATGAGGCTGGGTCGAGATCCCTCCTGGCGAAGTCACGAAAGTCTGTAGACTCCAGGGTGTAGAAAGTCGTTGGTTGAGGCTTAGGGTTTAGGGTTTAGCACAATGCCCAGGACCCCAGCATGCTGTGGTAAATGTGCTGCCATGTGCGTTCTTGCCCAAGTTTTGGGCACCCAAATTCCAACCGTAAACCCTAAACATCCCTTAACTATGTCCTATCATGTGCCATACTTTCTCCTAAAAGTGAGCCCCCCTCCCACAATGACACCTTGCCGTCGAGCACCCAGCAACACCACACGAGGGAATAAAGGAATGTACTGTATAGGGATTACATAAGGGTTAGGCAGGGATTGTGCTCCCTCATTCCCTACCTCGCACGTAGGAGCTGGACAACACTGAGCCACGACCCTGAGACGACCTTATGATATGAGCCAACAAGCAGACAACCTGTGTAAGCCCCTGATACCCCAACAAAACCCCTTCAGATTTTTGCCGTGGCTAATAGTCCTCTACAATCCCTAAGCCCTAAACCCTAAACCCTAAAACATCAATCCCGGGATTTTGTTATCACCGTTTTCTCTGCGAATGGCTCCCTGGCTCACATCAACATCCCTTGTCTTCCAGGACTCCATTGCCAAAACCGGGACAGGGGGTTCTATACTTGGAGGTTCATGGGACTTAGTACGTCTTTATAACTGGGGTTATAACCCTACTTATAATTGGGGTAAGCCCTATAAGGTTATTTAGGGGGTTTATAAGTAGGGTTATAAGCCCAGTTGTAAGTGGTCACTATTTCCCATGAACCTCCAAGTAGGGATTATGAACGAGGTTATATAGGGTTTGGGGATGTCATCCCAAGAAAATACTAATTGAAAATCAAGTGGACAATCAAATCAAAACTGGGCAAGTATAAGCTAATGGAGCCCCTGCAAATAAGGATTCCGAGTATTATATATCCCCCCCTTCAGAATAGGGTTTAGGGTTTGGGGTTTAGGGTCAAGAGAGCACTACTCTGCTTCTACTGCAACATACAATCCTGGTAATCCCTTACACCCCCAAATCCTGAACCCCAAACCCAAAAACCCTACCTAAAAGCTTCCATTCAAAACCCAAAAATCCTTCGCCCTCAGCCCCAAGCCCAGTGTCCCAGGCTCTAAGCCCTGGCATAAGGAGAAAGCACCCAGACTCAAACCCCTAAACCCCTAATTAAACCGTGTGGTACCTCGCAGGTCGACAGCGCGGAGTTCGGGATGTTCTTGTGGAGGGGTGCCAAGCACTCCCCTTGGCTCGCTGGTGCTGAAGGGGCAAAAATGTGCGAGGAGTGGAAAAGAAACTGGAAAGTACCCTACAGCCTAAACCCTGGAAATCCTGAAGCCCCACCTCAAAAAAAACCTAGAAAACCAAAGCCCTAAATCTGAACCCTAACCCCTAAACCCTAAACTCGTGGAATAAAAAGCGCCCTGAAACCCTAAGTAATTGTAATAAGCCCTATACAAAGCAAGGTTTAGGCTTTGGGGCTTAGGGATCCAGTTAGCGTATCCATCGTACCATCGCTGCAGCCAAGATCACCCAGAACTGACCGACACTGTGGACCCGTGTAGCCTGCATCCTCAGTAGGCTGTCCATTGTTCAGGGTTTGAGGTTTAGGGCTTTTGGCTTATAGGGTTTGGGGTTAAGGTTTAGGGTTGAGGTCTAGGGTCTCAGCAGTTTGGGGCTCAGGCGTTTAGAGTGCAGGTTGTGTGGTTTGGGCGCTTCGGCGCATGGGGGATTTAGGAAGTCAGGCGGTTCACAAGGCAAGGACTACCACGCCATCCCTCAAGCTTATCTGTACTCCCCTCTGAGCTCTGATGTCTGCTAGGCTGCTCGCACTTCATAGGGGATTCTTAAGGGCTACAAAGATAACTTACGTAAGGATTCTGCGAGGAGCTTCGAGGGTTAAAGTCCATGGCGCAGGGTCTAAACAGTTGTGCATGCTAGGCTCTGCAGAGGCAAAAGTCGCATCGCCGTCCACATATGAGCTACAGTCTAAACTCCTTAAAGAGGGGTTACATAGGGGCTGAATTATATAGGGGAGCATTATAGGGGTTATGAACGGGGATACTAGGAGTGTAGACTATAGCTCATATGAGTGAGTAAGCACTGAGCTCCAACTAAGCATCTGATGCCAAAGAAACAAACACGTCCATCAAAAGCCTCGAACCCCAAACCACCAACCCCACAACCGTAGGCCTAAGCCAATAGCCAACCTAAGCCAATAGCCAAACTGCTACCACCGTCTCTGTATATACCCTAAACCCTGAACCATATATAACCCATTACAGTAGTATCATGTAGTATCCATGTTCTGTGCCAGTATCCCCATATAACCCCAATATACTTAGTCCCCATGGAATGGATGTAAGCTCTATAACACACTTTCATGGCTCCCAAGCCCTCAACAACTTGGAAGCTGTACCATAAGAAGGTCTGAGGATTTAGGGTTGCGTGTTTGGGTTGAGGTTTGGGACTTTGTCCTTAAGCTCTGTGATGGGAGGTTTAGAAGCTCGTTTTGATCTCCGAGCGGCGCAGATGCACTCACAGCTGCCATCCTCACGTCGGTTCTTGGTCGCCTGGAGCCATCTGGAAAATTGAGTCCAAGCCCCTCAAGTTCAATCGCTAAAGTATCTATCCTCATCCT